GAGGTGCCCAGCCCCTGCACCCCATTTTTCACAGCGGGTGCCATGGCCGTGCCCACCCCTCCGGGGCAGCAACCGCGGGGTGGACGGGTGCAAGCTGGAGCCAGGAGCTGCCACAGGACCAGTGCTGGCCGCCAGCGCCCGTCGAGAGCCTGCAATAACTCACGCTGGCCAGGAACAACTCTTTTGGCTTTTATTGTCAATGAAGAAATAATCAAATCTATATTACAATCTTAAAAACAGTAGAAAATGTGAGTAAAAATGCAACAGAGGCTTTTTCTCTTTAATGTGGAGACCATTATTACAGGGTGGTGAACAATGGGTTTGTGTTACTTGATTTGAGAACTAGCTGTGGCATAAAAATCGTACCTGGCTACTCAAGAAAACACCTCTTCCCAGATGGATCAGCCTGACATCTTGGCAGTAAAATTAAATACTAGAGACAGAAAGGGGTTGGAGTCCCAACCCAGGGCAAGGCCTAATGCTCAGTTCTACCATTTACAAAGGGACCGGCCTCCCAGCGTCACCGCCCCGGCCAGGCCGGCTCCCATGACAAGCTGAACCATTCAGTCCCATCACTGGCCAAGGGCTGTGCTGCATCTGCACCGGTGCCCTGTGGGGCTGCCCTGGGCTGGAGACCCATCTCCACCCCAGCCCTGGCCCCAGAGGATGCTCCCTGGCTGGGGGGATGCGGGCAGAGGAGGGCACTCTGCAGTGCGGAAGGCGCTGGCACCACAACAACATCTTCTGCATTTCCAATCGTATATGGCAGATCTGAGGGAACATCTGGAGCATCCATGAACCAGACCCATCCTGAGAGCTGCCGGCCGGGGTCCTTGTGGGTGGGGGAACCGGCCGATGGGCAGCAGCAGGCAGTGGTCGGTGCGGAGAGGAGCTGCAGCAGTTATTTCATAGTGGTGTTAGTCACCCAGCAGGCCGACGGAGGGAAGGAGTTTTTGGTCTTTCAGTGTGCAGGACTAGTGTGGCGCTCTCGCTAGCACGTCCAGACCTGCGGAGGAGAGACAAAGCCATGACAGTGACTGTTCTGAGCAGCTCTGAGAGCTGTTCTTCACCCTCTTGTGGAGCTTCCGTTTGGGCTTCCAGCATCCACAACACCCTCTGTCAGGAATTAAACCTCCCACCCGTTGATAACGATCCCCTTGTTTATTTGAAGACAACTCCTAACTCATTTAATGCCCTAGGTCTAGTACTGGAAAAGACTAAACCATGAAGGAGAAGGCTGAAGACACCAACCTTTACAGTGCTGTCCACGGCGCCGGAGAAGAGGCGGCCCCTGGAGACTGCAAGGGCAGTGACGCTACCCTGGTGTCGCAGCAGCGTCTGAGTACAGATCATGTTGTCCATGCTCCACACCTAGGGACACACAGGAGGTGTGAGCCAAGCAAGCGGCATGGGGCTCTGGCACAACCCCGAGCACCAGGAGGGATGGGGGATGCTAAGTGCCACAGGGTTTGAGCCAGACGACACAAATTAAACATGAGGGAGGTCATGTAGCATGCAGGGATGAGGATCCCACATCCTCCTTTTTCCTCAAGGCTGTCCAGGTTTTAACAAATGCACAGATGCAGCTGCACAGCCCTGGATACATACCCTGAGTGACCGATCATATGATGCACTGAAGACTTTGGTTTGATCCGGTGTGGAGATGACAGCAAGGGCGTAAACAGTACCCACATGCCCGGTCAGCGTGCGGACTTGTTCCTTTGTCTCTATATCCCAGACCTGCAGGAGGAGAGAAGGGATCGGAGATTGCACTGAGATGCAGGCCACTGACTTCTCCTCTGAGAGGTGTTTCCACCTCCATGCACACCTCCAGGGCGGGTGCTGTGCACCCATGCTCCGGGTATGCCATAAAGGGGACCTGCAGAGCCAGGTCCCCATCTCCTTGCCCCTCTCCCCCAGCCTCAAACCAACAAATGCATCAAACCCCACAGCCCTTACATGGATGAGGTTCTCATAGGTGCCACACACAATGTGGTGGTTTGTCACAGCGATGGAGTAGACGCTGCCTCCTGACGTCTGCAGCACGTGGACACACTCCAAGTTGCGGATGTCCCAAATCTGAAAGAGATGCCAGAGCAAAGGCAGGATGAGACCCCTGCAGGGAACCCTCTCCAGGAGGGAGCTCCCTTGAAGCTCTTCTCCAGCCACGCACGGAGTCAGACTGGCTCCATATGTACCCAGATCACATTTTTAAGGACAAATCTGTTCGGCTGGGAATGTTCAGTACTGAAGAGCAAAGTCCTGCTATCTTATTTAGCTGCCCAGCTTTGAACATCCAGGTTGAAAAAGCTGTGGAGATTGCACACACATGCACTCACATGTGCTCACACAACCCAGTCCTTGATAGTACTAAAAACCGATGCTGACAAATTAACAAGGATTTATTAACACTGAGGAGGGAAACTTCAAATTCTCTTATGTCACCCAGATGCTGAGAGGTGAACTATTCATCAAAGCCTGAGCCAACACAGATGAGGGCATTTCAGAAACTACACACAGATTTATGGTAACTCTGCAGCCAGACAGTGACCTTCTCCTTTTATCAGCAGGAGTGTCAGCGCAGATAACGGTGAGGCAGCTGCGGAGGCAGCGTGAGGCACCATGGCTGTGAGGCTGTGTTTTATCTCAGCGAGCATCCCCGAGCAGCTGCGCTCCCAAGGACCAGCCAGAGCCCAGCCTTTGTGCCTGAAAAGATGCAATCAGCGCGGTAAAATCTAGTGTGTCAGCAATGCTACAGTGGTGCTCTGACATCCTAGCAGCTACCTTTTGTCCCGCTCCACCAACCCATGCTGCAGAATACAGAGGCATGAGGAGAGCCGATGGCTTACAGTTGCCTCAAGTCTCAGGGTCCCACCTTGATTGTTTGGTAAGATCCGCTGTAGAGATAGTTTTGAGAAGCCACCAGCGCTCGCACCCAGTGATTGAGACCTGTCAGCTCCTTCTTCAGTTTGAGCTCGGTACCTACAATATCCCAGACCTGCAGAAAGCACAGACGCACAGACATGAAGGAGAGACTCAGCGGGATGGGGCAGTGATGGGACAGACCAGGTCAGCCTCTAGCTCGGAGCGCTGCCCGCCCCTGCCCAGGCAGCACAAGGCCCTACCAGCTCACTAAGGGGAACTTCGTGCTGGCTCTCCTGCCTCATGGGAATCGCCTGAACCCACTGACTTCCAGATAAAACACACAATAACTATGCTGAATAAGCATGTCTCCCTGAGGGCTCGGGAGAGCTCGCTCGGAGCTTGCATTACCGCTGGCAGAGACCCTTCCCTAGCAGTGCCATGGACTTGAAAAGCCTAAACCAAATCTACAGTAAAGAACTGCTCTGGACTTCCACTCCCAGCCTGTCCCCACAAAGCTCCGTTCCCACAGCTCCTGGGAAACCCTGCCTGAAACCCCCCGCACACAGGGATCGACAGATCTCACCCCACCATCCCTAACAGCGCTAACTGGCCTGCTCGGCTCATCTGGCAGAAAGTGGCTGGGAAGAACAAAAACCAAAAGGCCCCAAATTCTCCTTCTGCTTAGTGCTGTCTCATTGCTCCTCCAGCCCCGAGCACTCTCTAGACAGCTGAAGCACTCCAGGCCCCAGATAAAGAAAAGAGCATGCGCCCTCTTACAGATGGATGGTCCCATAAGCCGTCTCACCAGGAGCTGGAAGCAGAACCAAGGGAATCTAGCCAAGCCTTTAAAGGGCAACCTGCAAAGCTGTTCCCTGATTTCTGCATGCTTTAGGTAAGGAATGCAAATTCAAGATCCTTTGGAAGGGGTTTTAAAGCAGGCAGCCTAAATCCCCAGCCAATTCTGAATCCCAGACACAATTCCCAATGGTCTGAGCAGGTCCGTGGGGGGCCCAAGGACACACACATTCAGGAACTGCCAAGATACTCCACCTGCAGTCTCAGGTTTACAGAGTTATTAGAAACAGGAGTGTTTTTCCAGCCAGGTCCCAGAACATCTCTGACTTCAGCACAGAGCACAGGCTAAACCTCTGCAGTGCTGGCTGCTCTGTGTAGCTGTGCTTCTCTGTGTGACTCAGGAGAGCGCGGTAACAAGGTCACCCACAGACCAAAGTGCCACTTTCTTCCCGTTTGCACACTGCTACCTGGCAGTTTGTACCATTGGTCTCCTACCAGGCCAAAAGGAGCCATCCCAGAGCTCTACCTTGATGGCTTTGAGAGAGCCGCTGAACAGCATGTTGTGCGAGGAGACCAAAGTGCAAACAGGATTGTCATGTGCTCGGATCGTGTTCACTTTCTGCAGGTTTTGAATATCCCAGACCTGCAAAGGAGAAAAAGAATGCCTGTGAGGGGCAGGCCCCTTCTGCTGAAGCCCTTCCTCTTTGCCTCTGGAGGCAGGCAATCACACACAGGCAAAAACACAGGCAGGACAGGGCACTTGTATGAGCCACCGTCCTAGTCTGATCAGGACTGACACCCTGCCCCAGCTTAGAGCACCAGCCTCCCGCTGCCCGCACAGGAGCAGGGAGTGGGAAATCCAGCCTGCAGGAAACACCCAAATCCAACCCACGAGTAACTTGGCTGAAGGCAGTGGATAAAGCACACCCGGGTTATCTAGTCTTACACCACTGCCAGCTGAAGAGCCTTATAGAAAAAAGGATGTAGGTCCCTGCTCCACACCAGCCCGGGGCTGGCCTGCAGATCTCATCCCAACTGCAAAACGGAGCAGGGGGTCCTGGGTACTCACAATAATGGTGCAGTCAGCAGAGCCACTGTACAGCTTGTTCCTGTAACGTCACCAGAAAACAAAAGGAGGTCAGCGAGGGAGAGCAATGAGTGCAGGGTCCCAGCTCATTCCCAGGCGCCGTACTGGGTGAGAAGCTGCAGTCCCACAGCCCCACTGGGCCAAGACTAAACACACCAACCCCAGGAGCAGAGCCCAGGTCTTGTGGGGAGGCCAGGCTGGACTGGTCCTTTGAGCAGGAGGCCAGGCACCCCACTGGTGACCAGGGAAGGAAGCCAGGACAGCAGGGAGGCCAAAGAGATACATGCTTTGTCGATTTTTGAAGAGCAAAGAGGCAAGACGTGCCTCTCATGCACAGTCTTGGAACATGCAGGACTGAGGACGGGGAATTGTAAGTGCACGCTCAGGAGCCCCAGTGCTCTCTCCTGCAGGGGCCGGTGTCCCTTTCCACTCACCCCTGGATGCAGAGAGCCAGTACAATTCCATCGTGACCCTCCAAGGTCTTTTGGCACTTGTATGTGGTACAGGTATCCCACACCTAACAGGAAACAGAAGTTAGCAGAGGGTCACACACCAGCAGACAGAGCAGCTGGGGACCCGGGCAGGATGTCAGCAAAGCCACAAAAGCACCAAAACGAGGAAACAGGCTGTCACCTGGGCACCTGCCTTCCGGGCTCCCAGGCAGAGATAGGCTTGTCTAGGAAAGGAAATTTACTGCAAAGGGTCAGGTTGAAGTTAATGAGGCACTGGACAGCAGCAGGCATCAGCCCTCTCCAGCTCTGCCTTTCACAGCCCAGGCCAACACCACACACTGAACCAGAGAAGCAGCTCTTGGGCTCCTGCTTTAGCAATTCACACGCCATCCCTAAGGCTCCAATGGCACAGCACAGCCTCCTCTGCCACTGCAGCGGTTTCCCCCACTCTCTCAAGAGAGGGATCATGGGAATGTGGTGTCCAGAGCAGCCAGGACAGGGCAGAAAGCTGTTTTCTTTCAATAAAGTACAGCAATGTGCATTTTCTTCCATGTGGCTCTTGCCATCGGTCAAAGAAACTAAATCAAAACTCTGCTCCTGCCAGGGCTAGTCACAGCAGCCCACGTGACTCCCTGGCCCAGCCATCAGCCACCAGCAGCCAACACGGTGACACTGGGAACTGTTGTTTAGGTTGCACTGGAGCACTGCTGTCAGTTTGAGTTACTGAAAACAGGACAAAGAAAAACAAACATGCCATAAAATGGAAAAAGGACACATCCGATCAGGGAAAAATGTTTTTTTCTAAGATGGCTTTTTATAACAAGGGAAAATAAAATCAGAATCCAAAATAGGTTTGAATACCCTGAACACCATATAAAGCAAAACCAGCAGCTGCAGGGATAAGATTCTAATCAGGGCCTTGCAAAAACCACTATTTGTCTCCTGATTTCACTACCACATAATGTTTCCTCACAGAGAATTCTGCCCAACTATAATTGCAAAGAATCATTTAAGATTCTTTGGGAGTAACTTTGGGAAGTGACGTCCCCACACCCCAAAAACCGCAACTCAGCTTCTGTCCCACCTGAAGCACATTTACAAATGCAGAAGATAAGACAGAAGAGGCAAGCTCTTACCTTAATGGTTTTGTCTGAAGAGCCGCTGAAGAGCAAGTCTCCTATGGAATAAACGCACAAACACCAGACAGGGCCCTGGTGTCCCACAAAGGTCCCCTTGCACTTGAAGATCTGCTGAGGATCATAGGCTACAGAAACAAGAAGGCAGGTGAGACTTGGGAGAACAGTGCTGCGCCATGTCACGGTGAGTTTGGAGGGTACAGAGCTCCCTGCACTGGCCCAACAGGTCCTCCTTGCACTTCACGTTGTTGCAGGCCAGAAGGAACCATGAGACCTTCCTTGTCTGGCTGGAAGGTCTCACGTCCCATCCTTACAGCTCATCAACTTATCACTGCTTTGAGCCCCAGGACTCATCTCCCTAATGCAACTCCTGGGCTGGACCTAGGGAGGCCAGAGACGTAAAGTCCACTTGACATCTCTACCTAGCAGCTAATAACCCTGCAGTGCTGTGAGTCCCTCTTTGGCCAGTGCTTCTGGAAACTCTCCCACCAGTATTTTCTTCCTGCAGCAGCGGTGACCCTGTGAACAAACTACTGCTGCACCCAGAGACAACCATTACTTTGTGTATCTGTGACCTCGCCTAAAAGGGCTCATTGGGCCATCACCCCCAACCCAGCCTGAGAGGATGAAAACCACATGCATACTCACATCCAAGGATGCCCATGTTGAGCCGAGCATTAATGTGGGAGAGCTCATCCTGAAAAACAGAACAAGCGACATGAGCTACAGAGCCATCAAGACCAGCCTGCCCTTCTGGGCATGGCTTTAAGACTGTCCCCCTCCACTGCTAAAGCCACTCTTGCCTTTGGACAGATCTTGACTCCCTGTGAAGGCCCTCCCTTGGCAGCTGACTCATTCTCTGATTGGAGGTCTCCTGCTCTAGGACACTGCATACATCCCTCTGTCACCTCCCTCCAGAGACCGTGGGGCTCTCGGTGACAGCATCTCAGATCTGCACTAAACTCTTCAGTATTCAGGCAGGCACAGAAATACCTTTCCGAATATACTGTCCTTGCTCTGCCATTCACCAGACTGCTAAAAATAATCAAATCGGTTACAGGGACTGCTTGCTCAGCTGGGCTCTCGAAGCCCACCTTGCTGGAGAAGAACTGGAAGGTCTCTTTGTAGTCTCCTCCATGGCCTGGTCCCTGCTGCATCCATGGAGACCCTCTTCATTAGCATGCCTAGGTTTACCTAGACAGGGTGAGCTCCTCCTGATCAGTACATTCAGTGGAATGCAGTCTGCCTGAACTAAGGAGGGATGTCTATCTATCATCAGTGCTTGAATAATGTCCAAAATTATGAGACAGCTCTCACTCCCAGCTTGTTAGCAGGGATCTGCTTATCTTCCTGCTTTCTCTGCGGGCAGGGAGAAGGGCATACTGTCCCTGGCTGTATAAAAGGTCCAGGAGTGCCCAGGCTTTGGAGCAGAAGGCTCTCTCCTTGCTGCAGGGGTCTTTTCCTCTGGTAACACATTTCAAGAGCACCAACAGGTTGAGAAAAGAGAGCAGGAACATATAAAATTGCAGCTCAGATGCAGTGACCGGAATGTGCTCACTGAGCTGCCTTTTACTCAGCCTAGAGGAAACCTTCAGTCGGACCCCAGCTGCAGTAAAAGCAAACCAAACCTGGGGTGCGCAGAGCCAGCAAACAGAAGGGAACCCCAAAGACTCCCCCCACTGCAGGAGAAGCCTAACTAGTAGCAGAGCCAGCAGCTAACTGCATGCAATCCCTGCTCCACCCCAGGACCCTGGCCCCTCCTCACGTTCAGCATGGATGCATCCCTGCGGAATTCCATCAGATCCTCGCTCAGCTTGCTCTGGTTCTCGTCCAGCACATCTACAAGAGATGGACAGGCCCACAGTCACTGCAGAGTAAATGATGGCACCCAGGGGAACAGGCAGAGGACATCCCCTGCCACCTAACCTCTGAACAAGGAGGGAGGAGAATGCATTGCTGTTATCCGTAGGTAAAACTAGGAGGGTGTCTGCTACTCAAATGCAAATTGTGCTCGGATGATGAAGACCCGGCAAATTTCAGAGGCAAGACAGGGCTGGGCACAGCAAAGGTGTCCAAGAACCATGCTTGCTCCAGGATGGCTGCATTGTTGGCTATTCGACGCGCTGATTTTTACGCGGGCCTGTGCCCATGGACCACACAGGAAAAAGTCACGGGAGAATGGTGGTAGCTGCCTGCAGACATTTCTAGAACTTGCCATGCGATTGGCGACTGCAGGATTAGGTCCCATGATGTTCTGGCAGCAGAGAAGTTGATGAAACCCCTACTTGTTCCTCTGCAAAGAATATCTGAACCTCCTGAAACCTGCTCAGCACCAGTTTTAAACATGGAATGAATCCTGTAATGCATCATCCTAACAAAGAGCTGCCCTGTCCCTAACACTTCTGACCACAGAGCTCATCCAGTGCAAGACTCACCAAACTTAAGCTCCAAGTTCTTCTCCAGCTGGTCGATTTTCTCTGAGAGCTTCCCCAGCATGGAGCGCAGGAAGGCAATTTCCTGGTCCTTCTGGGCCATTGCCACCTGCATCTCATGGAAGCGATCATCTGTCTGCTGCAGGAACTCCTTCAGACCCTCGAACTTGCACGTCTCCAAGTGGGTCTCATAAGTGTCTTGATTTCCTATGAACGTACACCTACAAGGGGAAGGCAGATGCTGGCTGGAGCAGAGCTCACACTGGAGACCTCCTTGCTCAGTTGGCTCCTTGGAGGGAGGTCTTCTGTGTGGGTTCCCAGCTGTTGCGCTCCTCCTACCAGGAGCAGTGGTACTGTGGTTCACCATCCTGCTGGGTGCAGGAAACTGCAGGGCAACAGAGAGGCCAAGCAGCTCCCACTCTTCTGGCCAGGGCATTGGCCCCAAACAGAACTGTCTGTCTTTCTGTCTAGGCAGTTGCAAGGAAAAGCAGATCTTAGGCAAAAGACAGAATGTGGTGTCAGTTTGTGTGCTCACCAGGAGCCAAATCTAAGAGCCATCAAAACCAACAGAAAAATCTGCAGCTGACCTCGGCAGATGCTGACTTGGGCCTGCAACATTGCAAGGAGTCAGGGCTACTCGGCCGGGACTCGCCTTGCTCTGCTTCTGCCAAGACATCTCTTCCTGCAACGCTAACCTTAGCTGGGTGTCCTGCAGGGAACCCCCAGCCCGGGCTGCGCTCCTGCTCAGGTGACAATCAACTCTCCAAAGCTGATCAGCACTTCCCTTGCCCTGGGAGGAGAACTGGTTTGAAAGACACTGCCACAGTACTCATGTTACTCTTGTACTCATCCTCCTCCCTGTGTGGCTCCGGCCACATCCACCACTCCTGACTGTCCTCCAGCTGGTTCTTCTGCCTACGCACCTCAGCCTCCTCCTTGGCTGCCAGCAGGGCTTACAGCTGGGCAGCGTGACCTGCCTGTTCTCAACAAGGGGCTCGGGGGCTGCTTTCTGCAAGCCCTGCACGCCTGATCTCAGTCTCAGGCCAGTGCACAGCACTAGGTAGAGCTGCTCAGAGCCCATGGGGCTATCCCAAAGCTGCAGTAGCCAAAATGCAGCTCAGAAATGAGCTCAGTGCATCCTTCCCACTAAAAAGCACCAGCTCCTTACCCGTATTTGGAGTGGGGACATTTTATGTGCTCGCACTCTTTCAGATGTGCCTCCAGGTTCATTTTCAGGAGAGGTGGGCAGCTGGGATTATTGGGGCAGCGAACCGGCCTGTAATCACAGCTGCTTTCATGATCTCTGCCCATGGAGAGAAGCAAAAGGAGGGAAAATCAAGGATAAGCAAAAATTAGTAGAAACAACACAGACCATCAGGAAAGGAGCAAACCAGCCCTGTGAGACTGTCAGGTGATCAAAAGCCTCCTGCTCTAAGACTGCAATTACAGCTTTAAATTCTCATTTGGCCAGTAAGTTGAGAGTAATAATAGGCCACATTTATGCAGGGAACATCAGCTTATGCAGCTGATCAACTGAGCCTTCAGGCAGCTATCAACAACAGGCAATGGCCAGGTGATAAGGAAGACAGTGAATGCGTTTAAGGATGGGGCAGGAGATAAGATTTCTGATTCCTAGCATATAACTAGGATAACTCCTCTTATAAAAAGAATCCCCAGGTCTCTGCTTGACTATAGCCACAGTGTTTCACCCCAGATGTGAGGTGGCTGTTTTCACAGCGCATCACCTGTCCCGATGCTGAGACACTCAGGTAAGCTGGGAGCAGAGAACAGCATCCTTTCCCTGAGACCAGCCCATCTGCTACCATCCTAAAGCTGAGACATAGTGGAAAGGACTGTCCCTTCCAGTCTCTCTGCCCATTCCCACACCCCTGCACGCTCTAGCAGAGCACTGCTGGCAGGAGCTGCATTGTCCCCAGGAGCCGCAGGGCAGCTCAGATATGACAGCAGATTGCTGGTGGTGGAGCCCTTTCCCTGGAGACGCTGCACGCTGGTAACAAGCCACTTACTTCCTGGCACTCAGTTTAATTGTAAACGGACATCCACGGGGGTCCACCTCGAAGGCAGCGGGTTTGCTGCTGGCTGCAGGCCGGCAGCCATACTTGCAGTGAATGAAGAGCTCCCCGATCTGCTCAGCCACCGCAATGTTGTTAACCACTACGGTCAGTTTGGCGTTGTCCACGGGGCACTTCTCTGCCAGGTGAGGAAGCAAAAGAGAGAGAGAGTCAGCAAGGGCTGAGACACTGCAGGAGATTTTATTCTTTTGAGTTCTCTGGCCAAGACGGCCAACTCCCAGATGGGTGGCAATGGAACGAGCCACGAATATTCACACAAGGTCTGCAAGCCACTATCTCTGGTTTGTCTTGGGGCTTGGTGAAAAGTTACAGTTTATGTTAATCCATGATAATTTGAGTTAGCTGCCAATGACAGAAAGCCACACTAATTCAGACTACCTTGTGCTTGCTGAAGTGTGAGAGTATTCACAGGCAGTGACCAAATATCAGCAGATGCCCCATACATAATCCGTTCCCCCACCCAGGCCTGGGCTCAGCTCCTCTGCTGCCAGCGGGGCACTGCAGGCCAGCGACGCTGCAGCGAAGCAAAGACACGAGCTTTGAGGGCAGAAGCAAAACTGAGCAACTCAGGATTGCAACTGCAAAGCCTTCTCATTTGGCTCATGCCAAATAAAGGCTTTTTTTGTAGCACAGAGTCCAAACCAAGAGGGAGCTGGTTAGGCCAGGCCAGCAGCCAGACACTCGAGCTTCATCAAGTTTCTGGAAGAGCTGGGTGAGCTAAAGCAGCTCTGTGCACTGCTGTGCACAGGCTCTGTCAGCAGTCAGAGAGCTGGCACCATGGGATGGGGGAGACGGGGTTTGATGGGTCTCTGCCAAACATGGTCCCCCTGTTCCTTAGACAGGCGGCCACAGAAAGCTTTCTGTCTGAAATCAATGGGTCAGCTCTGGGCGAGACATGTATTATCCCGGGATTATCCACTGCATATTCCAGGATTTGAGAACATCCTGTGCCCAAGAGCCGGACCCAGCCCTCTAGTGCCCATGCTACAGCACGTACCATCAGAGCTCCAAGCTGCACAGCCACCCGTGCCCCAGCCCCTCACTGCTGCAGTGGCAGCCTGTGATGTGACAGCTTGTTTTAAGCCCTTTGGACATCTTTCCGCAGGTTTCTTTTTAAGTGAAAGCAAACAAACCAGAAAACAACAGCGTTTTGGCTGCATCACAGAAGAACGGTTCTGTACTCACCAGATGTTAAGGCACATCTTCTACAAAATGTGTGCTGTGGAGACAAAGAGGAACAGCAGTGTCAGCGTAAACAATATTGGACAAATTATTCCCTGTGGCTAACGATGGGAAAGGTGGGAGATACCAAAGCCTGTGGCTCAGGGGCCTCAGCAGCTGTTCTGCCTGCTTTATAACTCAGCGTGCTCTTCAGTCTGCACCACAGGGCAAAAACCAGCTGCTTGCTCAGGCAGCTCAGAGTGCCACACGGGTCCTGCTCCTGAGAAATACTAAGCACACGGTTTGAAGCTTTGAGGGTTCTGCCCTGTTCAAGATCAGGCCACGATCATGGTGAAAGCCAAAGCCACGGGCATGTTCTGCCACAAGCTGGTATTCCTACCCTCCAAGTCTCTGCTTCACCCTCCACTTTAGTCCATGTTATCCCTCTCGTTTCCCCGAGAAGTCCTCAAGGAGAAGAGCAAGGGGATGTCTGGTCTCTCCCTGTCTTTGGCCAGTCAGCTTATCACATATATTCCTCTGTAGCAGCCTAATGTAGCTGAAGCTGTCCTGCTGTCAGGTGCATGGGACATCTAGTTTGTAAGCCCACTGTAAATTTTGCCACTTTAAATAGCTCTCTATCTCTCTATTCTTACAGCAGAAATTTCTTGTAACAATTTAACTTGATAAAGCAGCAAACAGGCTAATGAATATAAAGAAAGGAACAAAGGCTGCAGCATTTCCCTGGTCCTGAACTTGCCCTGTGGGTTCCCTGGAGCCTCCTCAGCTGCACTCCCCTGCCAGCGCTTGGCAGCAGTGCTGGAGAGGCTGCAAGTCACTCTTCAGAGCTGTTATCTGCTGCCCTGCTCACGCGGCTTTTCCTGCCCTGAACAGCTGCATGGTGCTCTCTCCAGAGCTGCCAAACCAGGACTGCAAATGAAGCCAGCCTGCTTCCTGCAGCAGATTTTTTTTTTTCCATATTAACCAGTAAATCTCAGTTCCTCCACGAAGAGCCGCTTACTGAAATGGTGCAGTTTCACTGCACCAACTTCCAACACCTTTGGGGATAGCACCCTCACTGCAATAAACAATCCTGCTCTCTGCGTTTGTTGCTGCAGCTCCATCCTAGCAATCAGAAGTACATCATAAGCATTAGAGAGCCTGTCACAAAGTCATCTTTCTTCACACGTAGCACAGAAACAGGAATAATATACAGTTTCTATTAAATCCCAGTAAAACGGAATATAGAAGAATATTCATAATACTCTGCCTTTCATTAGAGGATCTCAAATCCCTTTGCAAGCATTAACTAAATGAAGCTTCAAGCCATTCTGATTTTGTAAGAAACACTTTCTTCACAACTGAAGAGCAGCCATTCCTGGGGTGCCCAGGAGGCAGCAGCACTCTGCAGAGCCCTTCAGGACAGGGAACGAGGACTTTTAGACCTCACTGAAGCCACACCAAAGAGACTGAACATGGCCAGGATAGGGGGGGCTGATAGTACAGCTCTCCTGGGAAAAGCCACCCAATTTTAAGCAAGCCCCAGGTTTCTCCAGCTAACTGCAGAGTGCCCCGCACACCCCACTGCAGACTGGTTCAGAGCTGCCTTGTGGGGAAATTTAAGACATGTCCATCAGCACCTCTGCTCCTATGCTGGCCTGGCTTTCCTGGACAGGGGCTGCCTCCTCTTTGCTTACTCAGGCTGAGAGTCACTGGGGACAGTCAGGGCTTGGCTATAGCTCACATAGGACATCTGTGGAGCCCCCACTCACTATTTTGAAGAGTTCTGCCTTACCCCACAGGTTGTGATGACTGGATCCTTAAACACACTACAGCACAGTTGGCAGCACAGCTTCACGGACGGTTGTTCAGCAAACACCAGTGGCTCCTGAAGTTGAGGAGAGACGGGGACAGAGAGAGCACAAGGATTAGTCCAAACGCAAGAGCCTCCAACTCTGCAGAAGGAATAAAGCAACTCTTCAGCGGTGAACCTTGGGCAGCCTGGGGCACAGGGCACACTAAGGGTTTCATTATCTCAAAATAAACTTTTGTCTGGGTCTGCTGACCTCCAATATGAAGAATGAACTTAGAAATGGCTAGAGACCCTCAGATCATCACAAACTGGGAGCCACCAGCATCTGGCAGTATCAGGACCTGACAGCAAACTGCGCAGACCAACTTTTTTGCCAGAGTGACTCAAGTCACTGTTCACTGGACTGAACAGTGTGTTGTCAAAATGTCCCCTGTACTAAGACTGAAGTTTAAAAGCAATTTTAAAACAGCTTGCCCTTTTTTATTTTTGAAACATCCTGAAGGAAGGGCTCTTTCATCCCCTTATGAAGCAGAAACAACATTGTTTCTGCCGCAACGGGCAAATGTCTCCAGTTTTGTTTACCAACTGAGACTGCCGGAGCATGGGGTATGAGCACGTCCTCCCTGAGACACACAGCTCTCCACTCCACACTAGGGCAGGGCTTCACGTTTCAGAGCATTTCAAATCAATCCTGGGAGTTCGGTCGGTCTTTTCATCCTGTGCTGCTCTCAGAACTGCAAACACAACCCCCTCCCCGGGTTCCTAAATACGAAACACATGCTTTTATCCCAGATCCGTGGCAAAATGCCGCCTGACCTTTTATGCATCCAGTCTGGGGTTAGTTACCGGGTCACAAGCTAAGCTCAGCTTAGAAGTGTCCTCCCCCAACAAGAATCACATGTGGATAATTCCTTGCACCCTCCTGGGGCTTACAATCAAGTCAGTGGGGTGCCACACAGCCCTAAATGCAGGATGGGGCTCTGAATCAGTAGGGAATTGTATTAGGCTTGCTGCCTGGGGCTAGACCACCAGCCTAAAAACTTGCAACCCCCTACTGCTCTGCAGCAGAGCGAGGGAATCACACATGACTTTGCAAAGACTTACAGTCTTTCTGAGAGAAGAAAAGCCTCACCATTGTCCCCTCTTTCCATATAGGGAAACAGTACACAAGGAAGCAAAGTAACTTGCAGAAGTCAGAGGTGGAAACAAAATTAAATCCAGGAGTCCTGACAGCCAGGCTTTTAGTTGCCAGACATCGCGAAAATCTGCCCATGATAGCTCTACATACTCACAAGAGTCCACTAAGTCACTCTTTTGACATTGAACTTCCTAATACTGCTCCTTCAGACAATCCCAAATACCTACTGGCTCCTCCTCTTCCTCATGGAGTGAGAACGTCGAGCGCAAGGACATGTTGGACTCAGAGTG